TATATATATATATATATATATATATATATTCTGTTTATGTATATACTTTATTCTATATATAGTACCAGTCAAATGTTTGAACCCTCGAATGAGAAAGTGTCCAAACTTTTGACTGGTACTGCACTATAATATACACAAAGAATATCGGCCGATATATCGATATCTGCCTTTTTTTACTCTCTAATATCGGTATCGGCCCCGAAAAACCCATATCGGTCGGGCTCTAGTATTTATTTGAAGAAAATGTGATTTCCAGTGCTGTGACTTACTGAGTGTACTGTTGGATATAGTGTTTGCTTATTCTTTTCTTTTTTTTCTTCTGAAAATGCCTTGAGGTTTACAGACTCAAAAATTTGCTAAAGTATACACCTGTTTGTTTTGCAGATTTTTTTTTCAAGTTTTTTTTTTTTATAATATTTACTGAAATACTAAAACGTAAAATAATTTAAAATAAATGTACATTTTTGTGCAGCAATTTTTTATGCTTTTGATATTTACCATGTTTAAAATAGTTTGATATCGTATATATTGGTGATCATCAGTCGACCACTACTCTATACATTATGAAAACAGGTCAAACTAGGAAAAAAGAAGCTTCTCTCAAATGCTAAAGCAGTGAAATTCCTAATATTTATTCCAACAATTCCAATAATTTCAGTGAAAATCCAACAACCACAATCACAGACAATACATTTGAGATATGTTTGGATTTCTTACACTGATTTCTCACTGATTTAGCTACAGCAAATAGCACAAGTGGCTTCTAGAATTTGAGCAGAATATTGCAATGGAGATCGCTAAACTTTGAAATGTTTTCAACATACGTGTTTTTCAATGTTGATGTTTGCCAGAAGATTGAGTAAATTGCTGTGCATAAAATGTGTCCATTTAAGAGAGAAGCTCTGACCGGGGGATATTAACCCTTTGTGATCGTGATAACGATTAAAAAGCGATTAATCATGCAGTTTGTAGGCATCAGAATAAGAAATGTGTTTTGCTGTTTAGACTTCAAGTGACATTTCTCTTGATGTATATAACATGTTTCCTTTTCTTGGGTTTTTTTTTTTCTTGTGTGTGTTATTTCCAGCTCAAGCGTTTTTGTTTTCCCTTGCTGCAGTGGTAAATTCTTCGAGGCACAGTTACCGTCGTCTCTTGCTCCGGGTGCTAAACTGCGGGTGAAGGTTGAGACGGTGTTCAGTCACATGCTGAAGCCCTTCCCCACCCACATCACCCAGGCCGAGCGACAGCTGGTGGTCTTCCAGGGGAACCACTACCTGTACTCCCCATACCCCACCCGCTCCCAGACCACCCGCGTTCGCCTGGCCTCCAAAACCGTGGAGAGCTACACTAAGCTAGGCAACCCCACCAAGAGCGAGGAGTCCATTGAATATGGACCGTTCAAAGATGTTCCTCCCTTCAGCCAGGTGACTGACCATAATAATCACTGTGTTGTACTGTAATATACTTTAAACTGTGTGTTTGCATGATAATATTGTCGTTACCTGGTAATTATGAAATTAATTTACAGAATGCATCACTTGAGTTTTGTTTTTACATGCAAAAAAAGTTTGAGGTCAGTCAGAGTTTTCTCTTCTGCTTACCAAGGCTAATTTATTTGATCAAAAATACAGTAATATTCTGAATTATTACTATAATTTAAAACAACTGTATTTGTGTGTGTGTGTGTATGTATATATATATATATCTCTCTCGCTTCAGTGTCACATGGTCCTTCAGAAATTATTCTAATATGCTGATTTGCTGCTCAAAACACATTTATCAATGTTGAAAACAGTTGTGCTGCTTAATCTTTTTTTGTGAAAAGCATGATACTTTTTTCTTTTAATGAATTGAAAGATTGAAAGAACAGCATTTATTTGAAATAGATTTTTTCATAAATGTCTTTACTGTCACTTTTGACCAGTTTAATGCTTTTATTTTTATTTCTAAATAAAAGTATTCATTTCTTTCAAAAGCAAAAAAAGACTTGCGTACACCATATTTTTGAATGGTAGTGTATAAACCTTTTGAAAACTGCTGGCTTGTAGGATGACATGAAGATCCACTATGAGAACAACACACCCTTCCTCACCATCAGCAGCGTCACGCGCACCATCGAGGTCTCTCACTGGGGCAACATCGCCGTGGAGGAAACCATCGACCTGAGACACACCGGTGCCTACCTGAAGGGGCCTTTCTCCCGCTATGACTACCAGAGACAGTCTGATAGCGGCATTTCATCAGTCAAATCTTTCAAGGTGTCTTAACTCTCTTATTTGTATTCATTTTTTGAAAATCTTTAAAGAATTTAGCAAAATGACTGCTGGTCCAACATCCTCACTCGCGTCCCAGTAGCCAACTCTAAACAACTCTGTTTTGGTCAGAGCTATTACATTTTTTTTATCACATGAAGCTTAAATTAAGCTTTAAACCAGATTAAGTAGAAGAAACAATTTGGTGTTCTTCCACTTACTTGTTTTGTCTTCCTGCAGACCATCCTCCCAGCCTCTGCTCAGGACGTGTATTACCGTGATGAGATCGGGAACATCTCCACCTCTCACCTCCAAGTTCTAGATGATTCCGTAGAGGTTGAAATCCGTCCCCGTTTCCCGCTGTTCGGTGGCTGGAAAACACATTACATCGTTGGTTATAATCTTCCCAGCTATGAATATCTCTACAATCTCGGTGGGTGTCTGGTATCAAGTCGAAAATGTTAAAAACATTTTCTATTCATTTAAACCCATTATAATGGCATGCATCCTTTTGTTCTTTAGGAGATCAGTATGCCCTGAAAATACGTCTGGTCGATCATGTCTATGATGACCAGGTCATTGACCAACTAACTGTGAAACTGATCCTTCCTGAAGGAGCCAGGTGAGCATCTGATATGCTTTAGCATGAGCATGTCTCACAATCAAAATCATCATCAAGTTTGATTTGATGATTTACTACTATGGTGTTCTCCCCAGAAATATCCACGTGGACACTCCCTACCCCCTCACACGCAGTCAGGACGAGCTGCATTACACTTACCTGGACACCTTCGGCAGACCTGTGCTGGTGGCCACCAAGAACAATCTGGTGGAGCAGCACATTCAGGATGTTGTGGTAAGCTAAGGCTTGCATGGAAAACTTGCAACAGGGTCATTTTAAAAGGCGTTAAAGGGGTCATATGATGCCATTTTTAGTGCATGTAAAGTTGTTACAAAGTGCCAAAAATGCTTTGCGGTGACGATGTCGGCAAAAGTGTGCTTGTTCAAAAAGTGAGCCATTTGAGTAACCCCAAAAGTGAGTATTAACTGTCTTTCCCATTAGGTTCACTACACCTTCAATAAGATCCTGATGCTGCAGGAGCCTTTGTTAGTGGTGGGAGCATTCTACATCCTCTTTTTTACTGTTATCATCTACGTGCGCCTCGACTTCTCTATCACAAAGGTGCGTCTGGAGCACACAGTATTGTTGAAGTGACCCAAGGTGTCACATTGTTAACTAAGCTGTCTGTTTCCTCATTTCCTCCATTAGGATCCAGCAGCAGAGGTGCGCATGAAGGTGGCCTCCATCACCGAGCAGGTCTTGACTCTGGTGAACAAGCGTCTCGGTCTGTACCGCCACATGGACGAAGTTGTGAACCGCTACAAGCAGTCCCGCGATACCGGAGCACTGAACAGCGGCCGCAAGACCCTGGAGGCCGAACACCGCACCCTCACCAATGACATCACTGCACTACAAGCCCGTCTCAAAGCAGAGGGCACCGATCTGGCTGAAAAAGTAGAGTCTTCAAAAAGCCCAACATCTTTCAAAATGCCGCTGCAAGCTCTAAATGTTTGCTGTCTCTCCATCTGCAGGTTGGTGAGATACAGAAGGTGGACAGCCAGCTGAAGGATCTGGTGTGCAGATGCTGTCTGGAGGCCGAACGGCTGGTGGCCGGAAAGGTGAAGAAGGACACCTACATCGACTCGGATAAAACCCTGTCAGGCAAGAGGCAAGAGCTGGTCAGCCGCATCGACAGCCTTCTGGATGCCTTGTAAATCAAACATCAGAAATCCAGTCTTCAGCCGGGCCATGAAACAGTCAGGGTCCTCAGAAACCGTCACACACACTCAGACTGGACTGACGGATCAATACTGTACACTCACAAACAATATGCATCATTCTGTGAACATCATGTTTGTGGCTTAGTAGGACGTGAAAGTGATCTTTGCAGGATGTGCATGTTGTTTTGTGTTGCTGAATGTGTGTGATTGGAAGAGGATTTTGTGAATTTTTTTTTTTTTTTTTTTAAGTTTCAAGTTTCTGAATGTCAAATGCAGTCTTCATTCACACAATCCAGCAGACTGGTTCCTTTTAATATTCGTTTGCAGTTTTGGAGTTGGGTTTGAATTGAAATGAGCTCTACAACCCTCACCTGAAAAATGTCTGCACTTATTGTTTCCAAAAAAAAAAAAAAAAAA